TGTGGTGACACGGTTTGCCTCCCCGTCTGTGCCAGAGGAGGCAGCATTGCATGAAAGCTGTTCCAGGAAATTGTATCTTCGGGACCAGCTAGTTAAGCAAATTGTGTAGCTGCTGTTGAAACCCAAATGTACCCAGCAGACATAATTTCACAAAAGGGGAGGGGAAACCACTTTTGTACAAAAGTCACAGCTGTTCAACGCTACATTTTGCAGGGGTTTTTTTTTGTTTTTTTTTTCCATTAAAACATTTTCCCTTTCTGTATGAGCAGTGACAGTTACATTTCTGGTTAGCAACTGAGGACATTTTAAGATGTTGCTAAGTGCTGTACTATCATGGGTTTGGTGTCTGTCAGGAAAAATTGGGCTAACGTCTCTTTGCTGGTACATGGAGTAGAAACTTGGTCTGTCTGCTCTGTCTGTAAATGAAATAAGAGAAGATGTAAATGAAATAGATGAGTAGGGCCCATTGTTCTCTAACATACAGAGCTGTGAGGATGCCGCTACTGATCCAAATGAGTGTTGATATTCCTATGTTAAGGTCCACATGATGGCCTTCACCTTGTTCAAATCTTGCAAATCTTGCTCCCAGTGGCCAAGCTGTCCAGAGCCCTCGGAAGTAGTGGGCAGCGGAGCTGACGGCTCAGAATGCTTGGGTCAGAAGCTGGTCTCACAGGCTGTGCACAGCACGACTGCCCATTGCTGGACATCCTGTTGAGACACATATTCGATGGGAGCCAGAGAGGAGACTTTCCCCAGTGATCCCTCATTCTTCTCCAGTAATGAGCCTGAGGCTTGTTTGTACCATGATGGATTATGAACACTAAATTTGTGGGAGGCATTTTGAGCAGAGGTTGGAATCTGGGCTCTACAGTCAGACTGCCTGGGTGTAAACTAAGACCATTCCTATCTGTACTGTGTGATACTGGGTGAGTTCCTTAACTTCTTCAGCCAGTTTGCTCAATGTACACTTAGGACAATTTACCTCCCCATCACTAGAGAAAGGATGATAAATAACTGTGGTAAAGATACTTGAGTACCAGCCCAGTTCCTGGCACATACTCGGTATACAGTAAATGGTAACTATTTTGGTGCTATGATGAAGAGGATACCTTTTCTGACTTTTAAATATATTAAACCTGCAACTTTAACATTGACTTTGCCCAGGACAGAATTATGGCTCAGGAAGGTAAAGTCAGGAATAGTGGTTGAAAGCTATTCAATCTAGGTTTTTCAGTTTCAAGTTGTATAAACACTTTCCTGCTATTGATTGCTGGAATTCCTATCTGCCAGGCTGTGGCTGACAGGAAAATAAGTGTCCATGCAACTGCGCCAGAGGCACAGACAGATTTCAACCTGACGTGCCCTGCCGGTGACAAAGAGCCCCCTCTGCGACTTCTGCTCCTAGTTGTCAGTCCATTGAAGAGAGTGACTCAAAGCTGGACTTCTAATGTCCTTGCACAGGCTTTATTGTCACTGGGTGGGAGGTGAAATGTTTTTCATATTTTGTAAGTAGCACATTCAATTGCATAAATGGGGGTATAATTAAACATCAAAAATGACAGATCTGCAGAGAATCCATCATCCATCATCAACAGTATTAGGGAATCAACATTTTCTTGATTATAGGTTTATCATAAAGACAGCCTTGGTTTATAAACATTATAACTAAATATATATATTTTTAAATCCTCACTCGAGGATATTTTTCCATTGATTTTTAGAAAGAGCGGAAGGCAGAGGGAGAGACAGGGAGAAACATCGATATGAGAGAGACACATAGATTGGTTGCCTCCTGCACACCCCCGAGCAGGCGTACCCTTGACCAGAATCAAACCCAGGACCCTTCAGTCTGAGGTCTGATGCTCTATCCACTGAGCAAAACCAGCCAGGGCCAACATTAACTAAATATTAAAGTTGCAAATGAAAATGTATGGTTATTTAAGGTATTGAATTTAATGTTATCACTTCAGTTGTAAACTGTCTTAATCTAGGCATATTATATTTTATATTTATGATATCTACACTATAAACTTGATACAGCAACTTAAACTAGACAGTTACTATTTTTTTTTTCTCTTTATAAGTTAACTATAAGAAATTAGACTTTTTCCAACAAAAATACTCTATGGACCAAAAGGGATAACTACAATATTCACATATCTATTCATGTAGATTTCACAAATAAAACTATTATTCAGAACCACTATACCTTGTGAAAATAACTGTCTTAGAGATGAGATTCACATTTTTTGAACAATTAAAACAAGCCATGTAGACTGGCATAGTCCAATTCAAATGGACAAAGTATCTTTGTTGTGGTGTAAAATATCTCTCATTTCAAGTAATATTATATAAAGTAAACTGAGGTATTTTAAATATTCTGATTAATTTTTTCCAAAAGATGTCTTTAAGAAATACTGGGATATAATTCTAATTAAAATTACCTTTACATTTGCATGAATGATTGATCTCAATTTTCTGCTTGGCCTGATAATACCTACACTGGTATTGATAGTAATAGAACTGGATGCAATTTGAGGGACATTAAACTATTAGACTCAACTGTATGATGATCTCAGCAATTATTTGGAATCTGAAACTGTTAAATGCCAGTCTGATCTAACATAGGACATGGCTGATTAAAATATAAATAATTTCTTAATTATGGTGGTGATACCCAAAAGATGAAGTGGAGAAATGTAGAGAGAGATATGATTTAAGCAAAAACAAACAAAAGGATAACCATTTGAAGTATAATGATAATGAGGACAATTTTCTTTTAGAGTTATAGTCGATGTCCAATTCAATAATTAACTACAAACCAGCAGCATATCTTTACTTGAAGAACACACACCTCAATGATCAAGAAAGTAGGAAGCCTTGTTTTCTGATATATGGATGTCTCACTTCTATGACAGATAATTAGAGCAGAGAAGAGAGGTTTGAGTTAAATATTGTTTCCCACTTTGGATGCCAGCTCAAAAGGTGTTGAGGAAGACATGGAAAAACTGAAGAATTAGAATAAGGCAAGGGTCAGAAAACTATGCTCTGCAGGTCAAATTCAGCCAGCTGATTGTTTTTATAAATAAAGTTTTACTAAAACATCGCTATGCCCATTAATTTAAGTGACATCTATGCTTGCTTTCAGGTTACAATGGTTGAATTGAGTAATTGTGACAGAGGCCATATGTCTCCCTCCCCCTCCCCCTCCCCCAAATATTTGCTATCTGGCTTTTTATGGAGTTTGCCAATATCTCGATTAAGGAAAACGTTCTTATTCTCCGAATTTTGCAAGGAAGTGTATTAAAGATGAGATCTGGCATGTCAGCTGTCTCAGTTCCCTTTCCTCATATGAAACTGCCTCGGATTTCAGGTGTAATAAGCTTTGGCCCAGTACAGTCTGCTTCAGTGAAGTGAGACAAGCCAGCATTTATTGGAAACATTTAATGCTGATAAACGCACCCAGAAACTGCAGATACATTATTATTAAAATATTTGTATACTGTAATTGGTCAGCCATGTAGTGGGACTTAGGGGTCTTAAACACTTTAAAAGTGATTTCCCTTTATTTTTGCAATTAAAGATAGCTCCATTATTTAATCTTACTTTTTTCATCTATTGAGCGTCCACATGATATTAGATACTATGTTAGAAGGTGTGGCAAAATGAGGTAAATTCTCTTTGACTGAAAATGACTGACTGTGGTATCAAAATTGGGGCTTTTCCCAAATGAAAATGGTGGGTCAAAGTATTCAAGACCAGTGTTGATAAGGAAGATGCTCAAGGGCAGGGAGAACATGGGTCTTATTCATCTATACATCCCTAGCACACAGAAGGGCTTGATGCCTATTAAAAACCCAGTAACTGTTTGAATATTGTTACAAAAACAATTTAGCAATAATGCAATCAATTTATAACCCTTGCCCGGCCGGCGTGGCTCAGTGGTTGAGCATATCGGCTTATGAATTAGGAGGTCACAGTTCAATTCCCAGTACTGGGCTTGATCCCCAGGGTGGGGCATGTAGGGGGCAGCTGATCAATGATTCTCTCATCATTGATGTTTCTATCTTTTTCTCCCTCTCCCTTCCTCTCAGAAATCAGTAAAAAAAATTTATAACCCTTGACAATCTAGATTATTATTTTAAAACAGAATGTGATTGGAGAAAATAGAGTTTGATCTTGATAAATAATGTGAATGCCTTTTGTTTTCCAACCTTTGCACTTCTTGGAAAGTATACATCTCATAAGAAAAATGTAAACTTTGTTGTTCACCCAAATAACATAAACAACATTACACAATATATAATAGAAATGTTTTCTATCAGAAAAGGGGATTCTGGAAAAATAAGACACATATTTAACTTTTGAAAATTATGAATATTACTTGATTCCCCCCCCCCCCCAAAAAAAATGTATTCAGTCTAATCCTAAATAGGGGCTTTATTTTGAATAAAAGAATTTATAGAGGGGATAACTCATATTATGCCAGAATACATTAAGGCAATGCAACCTCCAATAATATAGAAATCCAATCTACAGAAAGAATACTATTGATTTGAAATGGGATTTTAAAAGTGAACAAATATCTAAAATTTATTTTTTCCTTTGAATGGAAAATATGGCTGCTTCATTTAATTGTCTTTGAAATCTGGTTTAATAGAACATCTCTTCTACACCTCCGGTCAGCTCCCAACATTTTGATTGCAAAATGAAAGGCATTTACTTTGATATCTTTAATTATCACTCATTTAGAGGACAAGATGAAACACACTTTTCCAATTGGTGTTTTAAAATCTTGAGTCAAAGAAAAGGAATGACAAATTAGCCAGCTGGAAGAGACAAGAAATAGCTAGCTAGTGCTGCTAGGTTCTTTGTGGATACTTCAAAGTAAGATGAAAGGGAAATAAAGGGACTGTTAGCCACACATGCTCCATAAATGAAATACTAACACAATTTCACGACACATTAATAACAAGTTAATATCATACTTGGAGACTTACTCAACATAATAAGTGCCATATATGGGATCATCGATTTTTTCCCAGCCATATGGAAGCTCTGAAAAATAAAAAGTTATTTCTTTTAGTAAATAAGTAACATACATCACCATTTCTAATAAAAAGTAATATAATTTAACTGTTCGTGAATTGCAGAAATAATCTACCAAAGTGGAATAAAGCATTCAGAGTCAGCACCAAATTTCAGACACATATTTTAGGAACTATTAGAAGCACCGACTTGAAAATTGGCAGTTAAAACACAGAGCTCTCTTCTCTGCAGATGTACTGCTGCGTCTAGCTGTTTATCCCACGCCAAGCAGTAGGATGGCACGTCCTCATGCTATCACCTCTAAGGCAATACAGAAGGCACACTGCTTTCCTGAAAGGGCATACGGCTTTCTTATTTATGTGTATTGTTAAAAGGATAGTTTCAGAATAAAGACCATATTTTGAAAATATATTTCTGAAGATAGCAAATATTTTTTTCTGGTGAATGTAACACAGACTTTATAAATTCTCAATAGATATCCCACTAGTCAAGATGGTTAGCTTGCTGTTCTCTCCACATGGGTCAGATTTTGAGTACTGCCAATATACTTTTGGGCATATTTTCATAAAGTCTAAAATTCTACACACATTTTCCTTGGCAATATGGTTCATATTTCCAATTCTCCATGGGTAATTTTAAGTCACATATATTTAAAATAGCAACAATGCCCTAAATGCTACTATAGGCAAAAGCAGGCTCTTTGAAAACCAGGCTTTGCTTCATGATACACGGAACCTTTATAATTATTAATATGTAATACATATTGACTGCAAAGTATAGTTATGAAAAAACTAGAATCACTTGCAATCCCTCCATCGAGGATAACCACCATTAATATTTTGATGAATATTCTTTATACATGCAAATACTATTTTTAAGAAAGTAAATCCTAGAGTACATATTATTTTTATAGCCTACTTCTATTAAACAAACTATCAAGGGCATCTTTCAACATAAATAAATGTTACTTAACAATATCACTTTTAAAGTGGCAGTCTCGTAGTCTGTGGTATGGCCAGTCTTTGTAATCCAGCAGCCTTCTATTATTGAACAATGGGACTTTCCAGTCTTTACCTATTACATATCATCTGTGTTGGATTTATTAAAACTTCAATCTGTCATCACTTTCCTAGTAATTTAGCAATGATAAATTCCCAGAGATAGGATTTGGGATTAAAGGGCATGTACTCTTTGATGGCTTTTGATATACAGCCAGATTACTACCTTCGCACTCACAAAAGAGAACCGATTTATCATCTCACTGAGTGACTTTGTTTCTCTGTGCCATCAAATTAAACACAGGTACGTAATTCCCCATCCAAAACTTTTAGGGACAGAGATAGGTTTTGAAATTCAGTATTTCTCCAATTTTAGAAAGTTAACATGATGCGAATGATTTCTAATTTATAGCACTCCAAGCAGAGTCTGGGAAGCACTTTATAATCAAAACATGAGTAATTTGTACAGCCAAAATTACATGATTTACACTAGGAGGCATAAATGACTACTTCATATCAGTTTGCACTGGTTTGCTGCCATTGTGTCCAGAGTAGGTTCTGTTTTGCTGCCAAATAAGTTACAAAAAGCAGTTTTTCGCGCTTTTGAATTCTAGATATGCAGATAAAGAATTATGTGTCATTATTTTGAAAATCAATCAAATTATTTTTTTAAATGGAGCTCATCGCTGTTTTAAATTACCTTTCTTGGATTTCTCGTTAGTTTGAACATTTTTCATTTGTCCATCTTTGGACAATTATTTTTTTCTTTTGTGCATTTCTCATTAATTTTTATTCATAAGAGCTCTTTACTTATTAAGGATACTAATTCTTTACCACATAGGTTGCACATATGTTAAAAGTTTGTTTAAGTTTTAATTTTTCTGAACATTTCTTTTAACATATAGAAGTTTGGTAAGTTTTTCATTGTTTTCCTCGATGGTTTCTATCATTGGAGCTTAGCTTAAATACTGAAGAAATTTTTCTAGTGTTGTTTTTTTTTAAAAGTCTAGATTATGACTTTGTTTAATAATTCTTAGGTTAGTTATATCTTAATAAAATCAAAACACCAAGTTGTGGAGTACCTTATGAAACTTTTCTTTCAAAATGATAATGAGGGCAAACTTTTGCTGGGTATTTATCATGGTTCAGGTACTGATGAGTTTCCATGTACTAAATCATTTTACCCTAACAACAGCTCAGAATTTAAAATGCCTGTACTCTGGTTCCAGCAATTTTACCCAACTTAGATATCAATTTAGACACTGTGTTTAACACAGTATAAATAACACTTAATTAAGATTAAGTAGAATAATTTTCCAGATGGTTTTCACTAAATCCTTCAAGCTACTGGAGAATCTGGCTATGAAAATGAAGAATCCATTTGACAAATACTTATTGGGTGCCTTTTACAAGCAGCGAAGTGCCTTTTACTTAAGTAAAAGAATATATAGAACACAGCAATCAATATTATGGATATTTGTTATTAATATGGATGAATATACAGATTTATATTTAAATAAGTTTAATACAATTTCATGAGTGCAATACAAAATATCATATTCAATATAGAATAAAAGCCTAATATGGCTAATTTTATGGATACTAGTCTTACTTCTTAATGGCATTGTTACATGGAAGCATTTAATAGTCCAATTTTTAAAATTATCTTTTATAATATCAACTATTTCTTCATGTATTCCTTATCTTTGGCTTTTTCTTGAGTAAATTACTAATTCTAAGCATTGTATTCTGGAAGTACAGATTTCATTGTTTCTTTATCTTTGTAGATTTATAGCACCAAAGGTTCTGCCAACATGTACTTATCCTTTCCTCTTGCCATCATGAAGTATTCATCAGAATTTAGAGAGAATGTATTTTCTTTTTTAATATATCAATATATTATGTTTGTTTGCCTGCTTGTTTCATATTTCCAAAATGAACTGTTAATTTGTGCCTCCCCAAATTATATGTTATAAATACTTGTACTTTAAAATAAACTATTAGTGGTCCTTAACTTAAATTTTGAGACAAAATGATACACTATAACTCCAATCATCTGTTCCAAAGGGCTGCCATTTATTTCATTTTAAATATTTGCAAGGGATTGATAGATGAATGTTACAAAAAACCAATAACACATACATACATTACTTCATTTGTAATTGTGGTAGAATGGGTATAAAAATCTATAGCCAATATTTTAATAGCTTTGTGTATTTATTATACACTAGAGGTCTGGTGCACGAAATTCGTGCATGGGAGGTATCCCTCAACCTGGCCTGCACCCTCTCCAATTCGGGACCTCTCGGGGGATGTCCGACTGCCCATTTAAGCCCAATCCCATAGAGATCGGGCCTAAACCAGCAGTCAAACATCCCTTTCGCAATCCAGGACTTCTGTCTCCTAACCGCTAACCAGCCTGCCGGCCTGATCCCCCTAACCACTCAGATATTTACATTACAATTCATAACAGTAGCAACATTACATTTATGAAGTAGCAACGAAAATAATTTTATGGTTGGGTCACAACATGAGGAACTGTATTTAAAGGGCCAGAAGGTTGAGAACCACTGCAACTGCTCTCCCCTGCCGGCCTGATCGCCCTAACTGCCCTCCCCTGCCAGCCTAACCACCCCAACAGCCTCTTCCTTGGCCCCCGTCACCGTGGCTTTGTCCGGAAGGAAGATCAGACGAACGGAAAATGTCTGGTCTATCCAGTCTAATTAGCATATTACCCTTTTATTAGTATAGATGCATGTGCATTTATATGTATGTATATTCATATATATGAACATGTATGTGTGTATATGTACGTGTTCACCTGCATGTGCATGCGCAAGGGTGTTTGTGTGTATTCCCTTTAATGACATTTTTCCTGAGCAGCAAAGAAAGGTCTAGGCTAGAATGGTAATTAAAAAAACACACATTTTTCTTCACTCTTAAAAAGACAAGTCAGAAAATAAACTTTTAAAGATTATAAACTGGAATATATGTACACTTAGATAATGAAAATTTGAGAATAATCTTTCACTGTGAAAAGTGAGCTATTTGGACTTGGAGTTAAGTTTCAAAAATCAATTGCTTCTTTTTAAAATAAAGCTAATAAATGGAAAAGAATTTTCCAGTTTTTGACTATTTGCTTAATCAGACAAGCATGTAGTTTGGAGCTCTTAGGTCCTGGGTTACTTAGAACACTTTATTTAACAATACCTGACAAATTTACAGATGATTAAGGTCACACTGATGAAAGAATAACATATACTATGCAAAGGGAAAAATAAACACTCGAGATCAGCAAGGTTAATGCTGCATTAAGAACTGTTTAATTGAGATTGTTTTCAGGCCATGGGAACCATGGAGCAAACTCAATGATTAGGTATTCCTACAGTGATCCCTTCTGCAGAAGTCGGTGTAACCGTCTAGATTAATTTGTAGTCAGTCATATAAGCTTTGTAAGAATGCAATAGAATCAAAAGATTCAGTAGGCATTCTGTTCGGCCAGGATTCTGCCACAGCTACTATGGTATATTTTGTACTTAGCTTCTCTTTCAAAATTTTATTTATTTGTTTGTTTGTTAGGTTCACTTTCATTGCAGGAAATAGAGACTCCTTTATGCTAACTCACACAAACAAAACCCAACAGTTTTTAGGCTGCAACTGGAAAACTTGTAGAAGACAAGGTCAGTATTTCTTATGGAAATGGGACCCAAATAAAGCTGTAAGGAACCTGGGATGCACTAACTCAGGATATTTCAGAAAGTCCCTTCTGTCTGTCCTACTTTGTCTTTTAAACTATGTCCTTTATCTCTGTGTCTGTGTTTCTTTCTCTTTTACTAGCTGGCTACCTATGTTGCTCAACTTGAATATGTCCTGCAGTGTCTACCCTGAACTTGACTCTATGTTGCTTTTTGAAAAAATATGTTTTTAGAGAGAAGAAGGGAGAGGGAGAATGAAGACAGAGACAGAAACATTGAGGTGAGAGCAGAACATCGATTGGCTGCCTCCTGCATG